GGGCCGTGCCCGCCGCCATCAACTGCCCTGAGCGCCTGCTGAGGCAGAGGGAGACGTCGGGGCCTGCACCTGGAGGGAGCCTGCCACGCTAGCCCCTAGGAGGGGGCGTTACCATGGCGACAGCCTCTCCCTCTGCTGACGGGGGACGGGGGCGGCCCTGGGAAGGAGGGCTGGTCTCCTGGCCCACTGCCCCTCCCCTTACTCTCCCCTGGACTTGGATGGGCCCGAGTTGGGGGCCACACCCTGGGGTGGGTGCTGTCCCCCCCCCCCCCGGGCTCTGTCTAATGCATGCTGGGTGTGGATTCGTGGTGTGCACAGTTTGTGTAGCCTGGGGTGTTTGCTCGTGTGCTCACCTTGGATGCATGATCTACTGAGTAATGTTCTGGTGAAGAGGGAGTGGGGCAGGGTTTTGCAAGACAGACTGGGTGAATTGATTGATTAAGGAAACTGACTTCTTACTTGGGATTGCTAGACTAGAGAAAAAGAAATTTGACCAGAGAGGTTAGAAACAGAGCAGGGAGACAGTAGATAGAAAAACCCAGCACACGCACACACAGGTTAGCAGTTTAGCTCTGTAAATCTGAAGTGCTTAAAGTAGAGATGGTGGAAGGAGTAAAAAAAAAAAGGCCTAATCTGGCTAGCTTTGTTTGCTTTCCTACAAATGGTTCAGCAAAAGGTGTTTTACTTAAAAAGGCATGAACTTGGTTAGAGGTTTGGCTGTGAATTCTTGCAAAATATAACTGCTCCTTGGTGACTTGGGAGATGCTGCATGTGAGCCTTTTATTAGGGGTGTGGAGTTGGTCCTTAAGGCTGGATTTTGCAACATTGACCCTAATTGTCTCGCTATAAGTCTCTTCCCAGTTCTGTAGTGTATGGTTTTAGACATTGCATTAGTTTCTGAGCGTAAGCGCAGCAAAACATGAACCCCACTGGCTAAAGAGTATACTCTATTTAAATGATAGTAGATTGTGATTGGTTGAATGATTTTTGATTGTAGAGTTTTTACTAGCAATTGGCTTCATCAAATTCTGATGTATTCTGACTTTATCATACACAGCATACCTTGTTTTAGTGGGCTTGTTATTGGAGCTTAAGTATATTATACTTGAATCCCCTACCATTTAAAAGTCAATTTATAAACAGGGATTTGGAGTGTGACTCCACTAATGTGTGCCTGTGATCTTGGTTAGAAACCCACTCAGCTGCCTTTCCTCAGGAGGTACAGAGTGGGGGAAGGGAGCTGCCGGGAAGTGATTGATAAGGTTTCCTTTATGGATTCTGTGGTGCTTCACTGGAGCTCAGAGCACTTTGGCAACTTAAGCTCTCCAAATTAAAAGCTCATTAACAATTCCTGTCCAAAGATCCTGTAAATAATCAGGTAGCTAGGTTGTAGAGCTCTCCTTCCAACTTGAAAATTCCATATAAAGGTGCTTTTATTCCCTTTCATTTTGAAAAGTGTTTTCTCTGAAGTGGGGTAAGTTGGTGAATGGCCTTTCGCCAGGAGATTGAAGTAGAATAAAGACTTAAATGTGTAAAAGGCAGAAAGAAATATGTTGGTTCCAATCATAGATGTTTCTATGGAGAGGGCATCAGCTTACAAGATAATCTCTGCAGCTTCTTGTCCTTTGGAAGATCTGAGTTAGGTTTTCAGTATAAGTTTGTATTTTGACCCAGGATTTGGTTACTTAACTTTCTTAGAATTTGAGGGAGACTTGGAAGTATCTTGAAAGTATTTCCTGGTCTGTATGGCCATTTGCAACATGATCTGTGGGTTTGTGGTAACAGACTCCTTCCTCGGTCCTGAGGCCCAGCCTCAGTTCCTAAGTTCTAAGTATTGTCAGTGTTACTAATGTCTCCTTCTTGCAAAATAGAATTCTAAAATTATCCTACAGCCACTACTTTGTGTCCTTTTTTTCTCAGTCCAGGCTGAGAAATACTGTAAATATTTGGGGTTTCTAAGAAGCCTTTTTAAAAAGAAAAGTATACTGCTAAAGAATATGTGCATCATTCCAAAAGCAGGTACAACCCCGATAGCTTCTGAATGCTCTGTAAGGGCAATCTTTCCACATAGATAGCTTTATGCCAAAGTTTGAGTTTATGAGTTTGAACAGTAGTGTAATCTTTAGTAGGGATTTGATCTTTTGTCTCAAAATAGACTCGTTGCAGAAATATGTGTTTGTCCACAGCATTGGGGCTTTCCAGCTCTCGCAGAACCTTCGCCATCCCCAGCTGCCAGTCTTGGCATCTTCGAAGTAAGAAGAGGTGAGAATTATGTTGCATTGTTAACTTTAGTTTGACTGCTTCCTTTTGGTGGGTACGGAATGGGGTTTGGTTCACATTGCTTTAATGTAGCTTTTTCTGATAAGGCAGCATATGCTCAAAACCTGTTGAAGTTTACTCAAAGCTTGTGGACTGATTGTTGGAGGTAGGGGATCCACACTCTCAAGTTCTGCCATGATTTCTGTAATGGGTATCTCATGAACACTTAGTTGAAGTTCAGGATGGTTTAATAGAGGCAGAAAATAGTACTTTATCTTGAGAAATACACATCTTAATACAATTGGAAAAAATGTTTATTTGGTTCTTAATAATGTATTTGAACAGAGCCTTTGGGAACTTGGTTTAATTGGGTTTTGTGTCAGCTTTGAGTAGACTGACAGTCCTAACCTATCTCCATTTTGCCAGGACCAGGGTCTGGCTAAAAAAGTAGGCTTAGGATTAAACTGGTGGTAGGTGGGTGGAAGGTGGAAAAAAGATGAGAAGTTGGCAAAATTTTTCTGTAAAGGATAAGTTAGTAAATATTGGGCTTTTTTTGGGTCTCTGTCACAACTACTTTATACATTTCTGTAGTTGTGCATGAAGACAACCATAGAGAATATGAAAATAAACAAACATGGCTGTGTACCAATAAAGCTGTACTTACAGAAAGAATTGGCAGCTGGATTTGGCCCATGAACTGTAGTTGGTGATGCCTGGATGAGACTTAACAGTAAAAAGCTGTTAAGTTTTAAGCAGTAGATGACACTAAATTTATGTTGTAGAAAGTTTGCTTAGTGAAGAATGGATTGATGGGAATAGATAATACTGGAAGTAGAGAGACAGTAAGGAGGCTGTGGCAGTTAACTTGGGTAGCATTTTTTTGTGGGGTGGGGACAGTACTGGGAATCAGGACCATGCGCTTACCAGGTAGGCATGGTGCTACTGAGCTGCATCCCTGGCAGCTTTGGGTAGCATTATATAAATCTTTGCATACATGTGCATATTGGTTCTCTTTACTAACTCCTTGGCCATCTGTTGGAACTTAAAGGACATCCACTAAAGAATGTGTCAGAAATAGTGATAGAAGACACATAGGAAGGGAAAGTGGGTGTAGAATGAATTAAAAGATCTTGGGAGCTATTTTCTATTAAAGGAAGTATAGAATAAATGGAACTCTGGGAAGGGTCTTGGTTTTAGGATTTGTAGCTTAATGTCAGTTGCTTTAAACTTCTTGAACTGTATACACAGAAACTGACCTATATTTCTAAGCTTTCTAGAGAATTGTCCTCATTCTATATGAGTCCTACTCAGTCTTTCCTTTCCTTGTTCACAGCAGACAGATCACGTTTTCTTGAGTTTGAGAATGTCTTCTAGTTCAGGTATGGTGGTATATGTAGACATAGGAGCAAATAAAGTATTAATGAGTAGATTTAGAGCCCAGAGTCTTGTGTCTGCTTTTTCCCTTTGTCTTCCTCTTCCTATGAGCCCTGACGTACTTGGATTGCTGGAGGGTAGCCTATAGGTTTCTGATGGTATTTATATGACCTTGAACAAGTGACACTGAGTTTCACTTTCCTGACCTGTAAAATGGAGATAATGGGACCTAATAGGGTTGGTTAAAGGCTTTAATAAGGTATGTAAAGTTCTTAGCATAGTGTCTTGATATGTTTTATTGTAATTATTTTAAAAACTTGGGTGACTTGGCCTTTGGCTTAGTATGTATTGACACAGTTGTCATTTTGTCCATGTGACAGAAACATAGCACTTGGTGCTGATAGCACCAGGAGAAAGTTAAAAATAAAGCAAGGTATTGCTCTTCACGATGAAAATTTGTACGCAGTAGGATTTCCATTCCCAGAACTTTTTAATAGTGGACCTTTTTTCAGTGTAGTCCCAATACCATTTGTAAAGTAAATTAAGTCAGCTGTTTCCCAAGAGAAATTCACCAAAGTTTGACCTATCATTTCCCCATGTCTGAGGTCATTTATTAGTGTTGCCACCCTTGTGGGCCTCTGTCTCTGAGAAGTGTCTCTCCAGTGTTTGTTTTTTCTTTTAATTACTTTTCACTACTGCTCTAGGAAGTAGATCAGTTGGTCAACATTTGTTTCCTTGCTACCGTCTGAGGAAACTGAGGCCCAAGAAAGTTAAGTGAGTTGCCCAAAATCATGCTGTGAGGTACTGTAAATGCTAGTGCAGATTTGTCTCCAGATGAGATTGTGTTAGTTTATTGCTTTGATTTCTCTTCCCTTGGGTGAGAGATGCATGGAGATTGTAAAACTATAGTCTGTTGTATGGTTTATTTGGATTTACTACGTTTGATTTGAGTTCTCCTTTATCCATTTGGTTCTGTTGGGTTTTAATTGTTGACTTCTAGAACCAGGCCTGCTGGGAAGCAGATTACCTTTGGGTTGTTGTTTTTAGCCTTTCCTCCTTTGGGGACATTTCTTAGGGAGCCTTGGGTTGCAAGGGATTGCTTTGATAAGTTCAGAATTGTGCCTTGTGCCTCACAGCTACAGGTAAAATCAAAAGGCAGATAATTTATGGGAGTGTCAAAGCTGGCCGCTGGCACCTCAGGAGGCCATTAGTATGCCTGTTCAGACCCTCTGTGTCCTTGCAATTGATTCCTCTTTGCATGAGCCTGGTTTGGGAAGCTGTAGATCTGTGGGTAGTGATTGGATGTGACATTCCAAACACTGGTCCCTAAATTAATCCTTTTAATAGTATTCTGGCATCCCTTTCTCTCTCTCTCTCTCTCTCTCTCTCTCTCTCCCTCTCTCCCTCCCCCCCCCCCCCCCCTCTCT